TGTGTGTGTGTGTGTGTGTGTGTGTGTGTGTGTGTGTGTGTGTGTGTGTTTTCAGTGTAAAATCTTGGATTTTTATCTCTTGTTTTATAAGTAAATCATCAATGATTGTTCAGAGACTCTTTAGTTGAATACTTCATGTAGATAGGCCTGTGCTGGAAAAAGGATGAATGAAATCCGTTCCTTTCATCTTCCTGTCCTTTATCTTTCTCTTTGAGCGTTTAATATCTGTTGTCAGCATCAATATTAGACTGGCACGCTGTTCATTCATTTTATTTTGCTCCCAATGAGACAGGGCAAACATAGTCTTTATTTGTTCAGACAAATTGCAATGTATTTAATCTTTTCCTAAATAAGACACTGTTGTAAATCACTCAGTGGTGGATGGCTCAAAGTTAGCCTCCTAACAACAATTGCTATGTTGAGACTTGGTCATATTCTTGACTTATTTTATAATCATTCCTGTATGTGGTAACAGATCACAGATGTGTATGTGGCTGGTTTAACAACCAATAGCTGAACATTCTTGCCTTTTTCTAGTATATGAGCAACATGGACTCTTGGTGTAAAGCCTGTGGAGAGGGAGAACTTCCTTCTGAGCTACAGGACCTGGAAGACACCATCCACCACCACCAGGGTCTCTATGAACACATAACCACTGCCTATTCTGAGGTACAAATCTCCATTAAAGTAAAAACTGTTGCTTGTGTTTGAGAATATTTTCACTTTAAAGACTAAATTCAGGATACCTCCAAGCTGAGCAAGAACTAAAAAAAAGATATTTCAGTCATGACAACTCTTAGAATAGTTTTTCCTGAATATGACAGTGTTAATGTATTTGGTCTTTGCGGACTAGATCTGCTACGCACACCGCTGCTGCTGCAAGGCAAATATGGTCTTGCTACTGACAATAGATACACAGACATGTTGCTGTGAGCTTGTAAGATATGCTGCTGCATGGATAGACACACATAAATACCCTAGCAGATCTAGACAAGTGGAGCTGGGGAGGTGGAGGGTTTCAGAGGAACTCTGATAGTGCACTGCAGGACCAATTTACAACAAACACTGAACCAGACTATTTAAATGGTGAGCAAGCAAGCTCATTTGGCTGCAGAGCAGAGGCCAATCACCTTGTGCTGTGTAGACTAGTAAATGATGTGATTGCATGTAAAGGAATGTGGTGTTTCATGACTGAACTTGATTTTCAAATAAAGGTGGGATTTTTTTTCTGTAAGTAACATTTCTGGTTGTTGATGTGTATTATCTGTACATCCCCAGGTAAGTCAGGATGGCAAAGCCCTGCTAGATAAGCTACAGCGGCCTTTGACCCCAGGAAGTGCAGATTCGCTGACAGCCTCGGCTAACTACTCCAAGGCGGTGCACCATGTTCTGGATATCATTCATGAGGTTCTGCATCACCAGAGGCAGTTGGAGAACATCTGGCAACACCGCAAACTTCGTCTTCACCAACGGCTACAGCTCTGCGTCTTCCAACAGGATGTCCAGCAGGTCAGACACTTATTTTTAACTAACAATACTTGATACACAAATTATTGTAAACAGTTTTTTTTACATCTCATGTGGATGTGGATTCAATTTATTTTATTTAATCACTGTTATTTGTGAAGTGAGAGATGTGAAGGGTGGATGAGGTGTCAGAACGTTGCAGGAGACATCTGTGCGGGACAGATTTTTTCATTTCATTCTCACCCACTTCCCACAAGTTTCTTCTTGCACATGCCTGTTTCCACTGAATTTCACTTCCTGCTCGCAGTGATTTTGATCTGCCTGCTTTCGCTCAATTTTGGTTCGATTTAGGACATATTTTCTTCCATTGAGCTAAAATAAATAAATGATAGTTTATTTAAACAAATACAGTATGGGGTCAGAAGTTTTTTTTTTTTTTTTCATATATATATATATATATTTCAAGTTACATTTTAAAATGTAATTTATTCCTGTGATGGCAATGCTGAATTTTCCACAAATAATATTCTTAATATAAATTGATGTGGCAAAACACAAAATGATTAATGAGTTTGATATAGGAATATAAATATGACAGTGTGACACTAAAATGATTCCTGCTCATAAATGAGGTGAATCTGGTCCAATTTCTTCTTCTCTTTGTCTGAATAAAATGGCAGCATCTAAATGCCTGTGAGGCATCGTTATGTTGAATATAAAGTGAGTTCTAATCTGTTTAAAATAGGATTTCTCTGCTCACTTAAGAACAGAATATACATTTGAAAGTGCGATTTTAGGCACCACTGCATCATTTATTAATGAATGTATTTATTTTTGGATGAAATACTTGCATTTTTCTTTTTCAATTAAGAAATTCTAAAGGAGTAGTTACCCCAAAAGATAAAAATTCTGTCATCTTTTTCAAAACAACAGCCAAACGCGTCTCTTTCACTCTCTCTCACACACGGTCTGTCCCACACAATGTTCCCACTTTTTTCTTTTACTTAGTTTTTTTCCTCTCAGATGCATTCAGTATCAGTTTCATGTTAACTGTGTTCAGCAGCCTCATTATGTTGAGGGTTTGCCCCATAAAATGATGCAGACATGGGGACCTCTAAACCTTCCAGACATCAGAAAGCAGCCACGTGAGCAGGAGACTCAACATCTGCACGACAAATGATTGCATCTAATCACACACACACACACACACACACACACACACACACACATGTGCTGATATATATATAATGTCAATATGACCTGCATTGAATATAATGCCTTTTTTCTCTCTGCAGACTCTATGATAAACACGGGGAGGTGGCTGTTCGTGCCTATCCGCAGTTCTATCCTGTGCTGACAGATGCCACCACACAAACAGCTCTGAATGTTCCTGTGTGTGGCACATTCAGCCAGATCAAAGGTGGCATAATGAAATATGCATGAGTAGAGGACTCAGTGTGTTTTCGCAGTGTGCTCTGGCGTCTTTTGAGGCAGGTAGAAATCTTTTAAACTCGGATACGAGATGTCTGTCTTAGCAGCTCCACCTTGTAGATTTCAAATGGTTAAGAAAATATTTAATACTCACTTAAAACCTTTTCTAATACGTTTTTATTAGTAAAATATTGCATGTGTTTAGATGCTCATGCAAACCTGTGAGAAACAACAGATACTACCCCATTAATCAAATATCCATAATAAACACAGTTACTGTACTCTCAGACAACACCATCAGAGCAGACACCAGAGTCTTGCTGCTTAATCTGCAGGATGACCTCACTGCGTGTTTGGGGCTGATGTTTATAGTGGTGTTGAGCTGTCGCAGTGAATCCTGCTGCTTTGAGGTGCCCCCTGCTGGGTTTGAATTGGAAATGCAGTGGAACTCGTTTACATTTATATGCATTTAATGTCTGTCTATCTCTGCTAGAAATTGACTGAACATTTACAAGGTACCCACTGTCATGGAAAACCCAGAAAACCCAGATCCCTCGCCCATATTAACAAGCAAGAGAAAAAATTTGGGTTAACACTTTACAATAAGGGTCATTCGTTAAACTTAGTTAACAACATTAGGAAACATGAAAAAAAATTAGCTTAGTTAATATTAATTTCAGCATTTACTAATGCATTATTAAAATCACAAGTTGTGTTTGTTAACATTAAATAATGCACTGTGAACTAACACGAACAAACAATGAATGACTGTATTTTTATTAACTAACATTAACAAAGATTAATAAATAGTGTAATAAATATATTGTTCATTGTTCGTTCATGTTAGTTAATACATGAACTAATGTTAGCAAATGACAACATATTGTAAAGTGTTACCAAATGTGGACATTTTTCCAACAGTCACATAAAACTTTTTTAAAAAGTCAGGAAATTTTAAAAGTCTTTCCCAGGCTTTGAAAAGTTATGGGAATTTCTATAATGAATATTTTCATCATACAGACACTGCTCTTTGTGCCATGTTTATGCTTGATTTTCGAAAAATCCTCATCCTATGAAAATGAATGACTGAAAAAAAATATTTGGATGGAGTTATAGTTGTTTAATTATATGTAAAAAAAAATATATATATATATATATATATATTTATAAATATATATATTGTAGTTACATTTTGCAGTACTAACAAACAAATGTTTTATTTTGTATATTTTTATTTCTAAAAAATAAATATCTTGCGTCTCATTAATGATTCGTTTTTATAATGCAGGTGGTGGTTCTTTTGACCCTCTGAGCAACATTTGGTTATTTTTCTCTTAGTGAAAGTCCTTCTCCCAGCTGAGAACAGAATATACATTTGAAAGGGAGATTTTGGACGCCACTGCGTTAAATTGTTAATAATACTTGTTCACCTGCATGTTATTCCAAATCTGTATGCTGTTATTTTTCCAGTGGTGCACAAATTAAAAAAAAAAGAATGTTTAAAGAATCTCTACATTCGAAAAGGACAAAAACCACCATAAAAGTATTCCATATGGAATCTGGACTCTATTACAATTATATGGACTTTTTTGGTTCTTTTGTAGTGATTTGGTGGTTCTTTTGACCTTCTGAACCTTTGTTTATGTTCTTCCTTGCGAATATCTTCTCACACAGGTTCTAGATTGGATTGAAAACCATGGTGAGGCGTTCCTGAGTAAGCACACAGGAGTGGGGAAGTCTCTGCACAGGGCTCGAGCATTACAGAAACGTCATGAGGACTTTGAAGAAGTGGCTCAGGTAAGGAGAAACAGATGTAAGATCATCGCTTTGGCTATTTTCCACCTGGATATCTACAGTTCTCCTCCCATAATCAAAACTAGGCCATCACAGAAATGAGTCAAATGCATATTAACTTCTGCATGTTTCTCAGAACACCTACACGAATGCAGACAAACTCCTGGAGGCGGCAGAGCAGCTGGCTCAGACGGGCGAGTGTGACCCTGAGGAGATCTACCAGGCTGCACACCAGCTGGAAGATCGTATCCAGGACTTCGTAAGACGGGTTGAACAACGCAAAGTCCTGCTCGACATGTCTGTGGCCTTCCACACTCACAGCAAAGAAGTAAGTTATGAGAAAGTAAGAACGGGTGTTGGTGGGTGTGGATATGTCTGGGTTTGCCAGTGTTAACATGTGTTCCTGAATATGATGTAACAGGTACTTGTGGTTTTTTTTAGTTTTTTGTTTTTTTTGGTCCTCACTTTCAGAGATGAAAGTAAAATTATGACGTAATTATGTTCCTGAATATTATGTAACAGTACACACACAATTTCTGAAAATGTACTTGAATTTATTATTGTTGTTGTTGTTATTATTATTACTATTATTAATTTCTTTATTTATTCATTTGTTTATATATTTACAATATAGCAATAGCTTCATACCATTTGATACCATTGATTGTGTACCACTGATTCTACACCATATTGTTAAGTGTCCGGTAACATTTCTCTGTAGGTCTTGCACGACACACTTTTACTAGTCAACTAGTCAACGGGTCACTGTTTATATTATGTAAATGACATTTCTGTAAGTTCTGCAGCTTTTGCACTTTTTGATGCATTGATGTTAATGGAGAGACTGTCACAGCTGAGGTGATACCAGACCGGTGAGAATGTAAAAAATATATGAATTCTACTGTACATACATACAAAAATACATGGATTTATGCTACTGTAGTTAATGCCAGCCTTTAGATGACATAAGAATTAGAAAATATTGTATATGATCATGCAAAATAAACTCAGGCCATCTCGCAAATCACTGCTTCGTTAACACAAAACCACTCCAATACTTTCACGTATTTCCAATTAGGTTATAATACAAAGTTAATGTTATTCAGTTTGTGGACAGAGGAATTTTCCTCCTGCTGTCGCTACATAGAACGAGCACAACTGAAACTGTGTGTCACGACTAGTTGACAGACCCCACACATTCACTAGTAGCAGAACTAATTGACTAGTCAGTGTGAACTGTGTCCTACATGCTAAAAGAATCCCATGCAGCCACTCACTTTCGGAAATGAAACATTATTTGCTTTAAAGCCAAACTAGTGGTTAGCTTTTTTTGGGACCTCAAATCTTTATAATTTGTCTGCTTATAAATTCAGAATTCTTTCCTTCTGGCCCATCTATATTCCACAAACAGTGAATGATAATGAGTAGTAGTGTGTACATGATTCATACAAGCAAACAATGCTCTCTTTAATGTCTCCATATGGCATAATGTTAGCCATCTGCTATCTGTAGCAGGCTGGCATATATAGACATCTTTGTTTCTGAGAGTGTGTTTTATAACGGTATAAGTATTGATAAAAGGTTAAAGGCTGGAGTTTTGGAAAAAGAGAAAGGTAGAGAAAGGTGGAGGTGGAAAGAGACAATGGGGAGGTGTGGAAGGACAGGCATGGCCTGCTGTGGCAGGAGATACACTCTTTGACATGCCAACACAGGCAGATGGCTAATCCTGAGCTCACATAAGACGAAGCCATTCTCAGGAAATAACAACACCAGCCATACGGTGGCAGCCAAAGTCCGTCTGGCTCTTTGTCTCATCATGTTTGTGCATTTGGATATTTTAGATTATAGAACAAATGTTATTTGTTTGAAGACCCATGGATCTACATAGGTCACTGACTGGTTCATAATATTGTGAGGTTTCTGATTGGCTGGTAATGATGTTATTTCTCTGCAGCTGTGGACGTGGTTGGAGGAGCTTCAGAAGGAGCTGCTGGATGATGTTTATGCTGAGTCAGTAGAGGCGGTGCAGGAGCTGATCAAACGTTTCAGTCAGCAGCAGCAAACCACCCTGCAGGTCACCGTCAACGTCATTAAAGAAGGGGAGGATCTTATCCAGCAGCTCAGGTACGGCCCAATGAGAAAGCATGGGTTTAGTGGAAAATGATGACGCTGACAAACACATATGCACGTCATGTAATGGCCTTAGCATCCCATTGACGTCTGTTGCATTAATTACAATTACTAAACCCTAACCCTGCAGACACTTTTTGCCTTTTTTTTTAATTATTTAGTCATTTTATGAAACTAGTGACCTTATGGGGACCGAAACCAAATGCAAAGTTTTTCAGGTTTTATTAACAGAGCAAATTTAGCGGGCTACAAAACCATGCACACCACAGACACCTTACAAATGTGTAATTAAACATGTTTTGGAAAGTCCATCCTGAAACATCAGTAAATGTGTTACACTCAATAACACATTCACTTTTCAGTTATATGTCTACACTTCTATTATCTTCAGTCACTCTTGATATTGCAATGTTATTTCCTGTGGAGTTTATCTATGACTCATGTCCTAATCTGCATAGACTAAGTAAACTGTAGTAAGAAGATGCTTTTTTGAAGTTGTATGGTATATATTCTGTAGCAGATGTTGTCTCTCATACTCGTGCATGCTCTTTTTTCCTGACTGCAGAGACTCTGCAATCTCCAGCAATAAGACTCCTCATAACAGCTCTATGGCTCACATCGAGAGCATCCTGCAGCAGCTGGATGAGGCCCAGGCTCAGATGGAGGAACTGTTTCAGGAACGGAAGATCAAATTAGAGCTCTTTCTCCAACTCAGGATTTTTGAACGAGATGCCATTGATGTGAGTCCACAGTTTATGACATGTCTGACAGTTTATTCTCAAATGATAACCCACTGGTTTTGTTTGATATATTTGTTTAGTTGTTTGTTATATTAATAGGGAAAAAAAATATGGTATACATTTAGATGAACATAAACATGGATGTACTACTTAGCTAGCTGAAATGTCAAGTAAAGTTACTAAATAGACTAAATTGTAACGAGACTGTTACTATAAGGACACACACACAGGTAGAAATGTCTTCCCACTAGCTGCATGTACAGTATTCTGGTTGCATTCATTTGCAATGCACTTGTGTACGCAACTCATACAGCTTTCTATTTTTGTGCAATTCGTAGAAGTGATGTTTACACCACAAAAATAGTCAATTTTTCTAATTAACTTATGCTGTGTTTAATAATTTTGCATGTTGCTCAGCCAATACAGTTCATGATTATATTAACAAATTTCATTATTTGAGTTTAGAAACCTATTTGTTTTTAAATTATAATCTTGCTGTCAGATATATATATATATTTTTTTTTTCTCATAGCCATCAGGCAGGCACCCCTTGATTACATGAATTTAAAGTTTCAGTTCTGCATCAGTTGTGAGGTAGAAGGCTATATACCACGTGTTGTTGCTTCTATATTTCTTGTCGGTTTGGATCTGATCAAAGGAGCAAAGTGCTAAAAGACAAAATCCACTGATGACAGAGATTCTGAGCGGAAGCCTTGAGCAAAGATAAAGTCATCATGGATGCTCTTTTCACAGCCGGCACTATGAGTCATGGAGGATTGTGTCTCTGGACATGTGAAAATGAGTCACACTTTTGTCCAAAGGGTGTTTGAGAAACTAACAGCTTTATCAAATAAATATCACATACACGGTTGCTCTGAATCAAAGCTCTTAAAATCAACATGAAACAACCTTTTAATTTTTGTAATGATACCAAAGGCTTAAGGTTTGGCTGGTTAGCATGAACAGTTAGCCTCTGCTGGTAGATGCTGTAACTGAATCATTGTTCAGCCAAAAAGCTTGTTTCCCCATTGACCGCTATACTCAAGTCAGTGTTTCTTTATATTTTACAGTTTTTTTCAATTGATAACATCCTTTTGTCCAATCTCTAGTCACATTTTCAAAACTCTAAACACAATTAGCACAACATCCGTCTGTTGTGACCATACCATTAACACAATTCATGTTGTTTTCACACAATATGCAGTCAATTACCATGTTTCTCAAATGCTTACATTTACTTTTTTCATACAAGCTTACCCAAAACCAAAATCATGGACGTTTTTAGTCTTATTTACAAATGATTAAACACAGCATGTCAGAAATGAAGACCTAATGTTCCAAACCTTAAATATAGTATAAAGCTTCTACTTCTGCAACAACAGCAGCTCAAAGGTATTGAAAAAATCTCTCTGTGCCAAGTATTGTAACAACTGATAAGCTGATCAGTGATCTGATAAGTAACAGATCACTGAAATATTTAGAATTATAGCTGATTCCAGTCTCAGTTGGCGGAATAGTCTAGTGTTGAAGCTCTTTCCATTACATCAACAACATAGAGTAAAAAAGACCTCTTTGAATTGGTTTTATGGATGCAAAACAACACAGAATCAGAGAGAGAGAAAATAATGCCTGGGAGAGGGAGAGGAGTAGTTGTAGGGTGTAGAGAAATAGTTGGATCAGAAAAAGGGAGACGAGGTATGGGAGAGAAGTGAGTGCATTTTTATGTTTGTTTGTTTGTTTTTTCCCACATATGAAACCTATGAGAGCTTATTTCTGCCATGGAATATAAAGGGTAAGGGTAATTGTGACTTTATCTCAGAATTCTGACTTTTTTCTTGCAATTGTGAATTTACAGTATCTCACAATTCTGATAAAGTCTGAATTGCAAGATGTAAACTCACAATTCCAATAATAGAAGTCCAAAATGTGAGATAAAAAGGTCACAGTTACTGTTTTTCTTTTTATTCTGTGACGGAAACGAGCTTGCATAGTAACCAAAGGCCATGTATGTTGGAATTTTTGTTGATCCCTGGCTTCAGCCACCATCTACATCCAACCCCCACCCACTGGAGAGCAGTTCCAATCAAGGTTCCAATTGAATTTCTGCATAGGGAACCCTTTTTTTTTCTATTGTACATTCTATAAAGTAATGACTCATTCAGTTTTAGATAGTATGTTGCCAAGAATGAACACATTCAACACTTACAAATGTAAAATGGGTTTCAGTTGAAGGTAAACTGAAGGCTAAATTACAAAAAACTATGGATTTTTATATTGTCTATTATATGCAGGTAGAACTGAAACATGATTGAAATGAAATGAAACTGAAATGCAGTTTTGTAAAGCCATCAACTGTTAGTATTTTGACAGTCACTGTGCTATGATTGACTATATGTTTCTGTTGGATAGAAACTAGTGCTAATGTTTTGACCGAATGTGTGCGGTTTTGGACACAAAATTAACTATTTGGCTAATTGTGTGATGTAGGTGTGTTGCTGTGTTAAGAGTTTAGAAAAAGTACTTTAAGTATTGGTAAACGCTTGTTAGCAATTGAAAAACACTGTAATAGATGTTTTACAGTTTTAGATGTTGAGAGTTTTTTGTGAAAGAACTTACAATACATGATGATGGATGGATGGATGGATGGTTGGATGGATAGATAGATAGATAGATAGATAGATAGATAGATAGATAGATAGATAGATAGACTTTATTGATCCCATATCCGAAATTAAAGTGCATTAGCAGCAATACAAGGAAGAGTAAAGTACTCACAGTGTGCACAATATAACAATATAATATAATACACAATATAAATACAAACACAGGACAATAGACAATAACCTATAGACCAATTTAGAGTAGACGTCACAGTTACGTCACTTGCAGCTGCGTGCGCATAGGTAATTGGTCTATAGCATAAACATAATAAACAGGGCACATACTGTACATGCCTAGTAAATGAATTTAGCACAAATTTACAGATAAACAAAAAGTAAATATATCAAATAAAAAGTATATTATTGAATGTTATGAGTAATGTAAAAGAGAGAGAGAGAGAGAGAGAGAGAGAGAGAGGAATATGTCACTGATCCTTGAATTTATAGCATTAAGTACAGCTGTGGAATTGGTGAAGGGTCCTAGTTCCTTGGACAAAAGTATTGGGACACACCTCTTAATTATTGAATTCAGTTGTTTCGGTCATACCCATTGCCACAAGTATATGAAATCAACCACCTAGCCATGTAGTCTGCAAGCACCCACATTTATGAAAAAAATGTTATTTTAAAGAGCTCAGTAAATTCAAGTGTTGGATAGGATGCCTTCTTTGCAGTATGCCAGTTTGTGATATTTCATCCCTGCTTGAAATGGTTCAACTGTAAGTGGTATGTGTTGTGTTATTGGAAAGTAGTAGTGTTTAGGATCAACTAATGCACTAAGCGGAAGACCATGTAAAGTCCCAGAGTGGGGTCACCAAGTCACCAACTCTCTACTGGGTCCATAGCTGAAGAGTTCCACACATCCACTGGCATAAATATCCACACCAAGACTGTGTGGAAAGACCTTCATGAAATGGATTTCCATGGCCGAGCAGCTACATGCAAGCTCACATCACTAAGTACAATGCCAAGCGTTGGATGGAGTGATGTAAAGCACACTGTCACTGGACTCTGGAGCAATGGAAACATGTTCTGTGGAGTGACGAATTCAATTCAATTCAAGTTTATTTGTATAGCGCTTTTCACAATGCAAATCGTTGCAAAGCAGCTTTACAGAAAATTAAGGTTTCTACATTATATTTAGTAATAGCTTATCAGTGGTGACTATCTCAAATTGATGTCCATATGGCAGAAATGTACGGTAAAAATCAAGCAGTTAGTTAATGTCATGTAATGCAAAATTTGGTAGTTTTGTATGTTGTCTGAGGGTTGGCATCATCTGAGGTCCTCTGGGGGATTGGCATCATCTCTTCTCAGGTGTTAGGTCATCTCAGGTCTTTGTAAGGGCTGGATCCAGACTGAAGCTTGTGTAATTCCTAGTTACCACGTGATACCAATCCCGTGGCAGAAACAGAGAAGGTAATAGAGAAAAATTAGTGTAGCTGCTATTCCAACTAAGCCAAAAATTATGTGTTCAACCCAAGCAAAATAATGAAAATATGCATTTGATCAGATGTAACTGAAGTACAAGGTTATGAGATAAACTATGTGAATGCTTGGCTAAAGAGATGTGTCTAATCTAGATTTAAACAGAATCATGCTTATGATGGGCGAGTCTGCATTTGGCGGATGCCAGGAGAACATTACCTGCCTGACTACATAGTGCATGAGGGATAATGGTATGGGGCTGTTTTTCAGGGGTTGGGCTAGGTCCCTGGCTTCTAGTGAAGGGAAATCTTCATGCTTCAGATTACCAAAACATTTTGGACAATGCTATACTTGTGGCAACACTTTGGGGAGGGCTCTTTTATATTCCAGCATGACTATGTCCCAGTGCACAAATCAAGGTCCATAAAGACATGGTTGGATGAGTTTGGTGTGGAAGAACCTGACTGGCCCACACAGAGTCCTGACCTGAACCCCATCCAACACCTTTGAGATAAACTGGAATGGAGATTGTGAGCCAGGCTTTCTCATTCAGCATCAGCGCTTGGCGTCACAAATGCTCTACTGAATAAATGGGCAAAAATTCCAAACACTCCAGAATCTTGTGGAAAGCCCTCCCAGAAGAGTGGAAGCTGTTATAACTGCAATGGACTGACCAACTCCATATTAAGTTCTATGAATAAAGTCCCTTTTGGTGTAATGGTCAGGTGTCCTGATAATTTTGTCCATATAGTGTATGTTTTCCCTAACAGCCTAGATGAAGTCACCCGAAATAGAAGTTGTTTAAGAGGTGGAGCAAAGTTACAAAAGACAAAAAAATGTCTTCTGTTGAATAACATGCACTGAACAGTCATGCACAAGAAGTTCAGAAACATAATACAATAAAGATGGACAGTTTCGTGTTGACGTTAAATGAGCCGTTCTTTTGCTCATTTGCATAAACCTGCATAAACCCCATCATGCTGTGCGATTGACCTTTGGTGGCTGTTTTAAATGTTGTGTTTGTAGAAAACCCTATATGAAGTAATCAGAGTCCACAAAACGAGCTGGCTTTTGTAGTAAAAGTGATATCGCTCTCTGTAACATAATCCAATAGAGATCAAGGAGTATCACATTCCATAGGGAGTTTTGAAGGCGCTCACGTTCCACTGATACTTTGCTGATAGATAAGGTAAAACTGAGAAGACCTTGTGTAGACAAAGAGCAAATTGAAAGAACAACCTGAAAACCGTATACAGACGTGTATAAGTTCCAGTATGGGTGTCGATTGTAGGTGAACTCCTACATCGGATGTGAGGTAGTTACTCAGTGCAGGGCGGGCCGGCATTGTCAGTCAAGGCGGCAGTGTGCCAGAAGGTACAGCAGTGGGTGTGTGATTTCCCAAACGCTGCTCCCACGCATTGAAGAACACATTTACTTCGTACAGTGTTCCCGTTCTAGTCATCATCAGCTGTCCTTATCAGTGCTTCACTCAGAAAAGCTGGGAAAAATGCTCATGTTCATTAGAGGAGGAATTCTCAACCACACAGCAGTGCAGAGTGAGTGCTTTAGACTTTTGACGGGAGGATTGTTTGTTCAAATCATGACTTTAAACTTTAAACCAATTGCTATATCAATGACAGATGTCTTCTGTAGTGCTATTGAGGAATAATTTAGTGAGCGGCATTATGAAGTTTTGATTAGATGCTCTAATATTCATTTTTAATAGTCAACTAATATGTGTGTTTAATGGCCAGTGCTGGTAGCTAGTGAGCAGACTGGCCAATGGCTGATTCAATATTTAATAGTACAAGTTAAGGATGACGAAATGAGACATACAAAAATTACTGGAATCAAACACTCACTTTTTTAAACAAAACTGAACAAACATTGAAAATAGAAGATGTTTAGTATTCACTGCATCATTGCATTTGGAATGAATACAGGGAAATATTAAATAATACCAGTAATGTTGGTTAAAATTTTAACGTTTTACATGAAAGTGTTTTTATATATGCATTAGTCACCTTTTGAAGACTATTTATGCACAGAATCTGTTACACTTTATTTTAATCTACTTTTAACATTCTGCTAACTATAAGTAACTTTACAACTACATGTCAGCTAACTCTCATTAGAGTATTAGTAGACTCTTAGTGTTCAGGTTAGTAGAATGTACTTGCGAAGTTACCTACAGTCAGCAGAACATCTGTTGGCAGACCATCCAAATAAAGATATTAAGCAGACAGTCTACAAATACTCTAATGACTGGTTATTACTTATACTTAGTAGAATGTCTAAACTGGACTATCAAAATAAGCAGATACTCTTAGTCAGTGTAGGTTACATTTTAAATAGTGCTGTCAAACGATTAATCGTGATTAATCAAATCCAAAATAAAAGTTTTTGTTTACATAATATATGTATGTGTGCTGTATAATATGTTATGTTTATATATTAAATATATTTATTTATAATATAAATTATATGAATATAAATATATAAATGTATATACATGTAAATATTTTCAAAATATATACTGTATGTGTGTGTATTTATATATATATATATAATATATACACATACACACAAACAAAAACAAAAACTTTTATTTTGTATGCGATTAATCGTTTGACAGCGCTAATTTTTAGTGAATGAAATAAGGATGTTTTATACTTTTTACTCCCATATTTTATTTATTTATTTGTTATTATTATTTGTTTCCACTGGAATGACAAACAATTGAGCAAGCTATGTAAAAGTAATGGCATTCAACAAACTGTTCCTAATTTAATATGGTATAATATCTGCCTAATCTGCCTTGACTTACGTCTATTTCCATACAGCTATAATACTTTTTTTTTTTTTAATACTATATTTTATATGTTTTTTTAAGTATTAAATTATCAACTGTATCCAATATTTGCATTTCCAGAATAATCAAATTCATTTAAAAACCTGTTCACTCATTTACTGTAGATATGGTCACTGATACATGCCTTATTATGGTGTTGTTTGTGTGGATGTGTTGTGTAGGTCATCTCAGACCTGGAGTCATGGAATGAGGAGCTGTCTCAGCAGATGAATGAGTTTGACACTGAGGATCTGACACTAGCAGAGCAGAGACTGCAGCATCACGCAGATAAAGCTCTCACCATGAACAACCTCACCTTCCACGTCATACACCAGGGACAGGAACTCCTGCAGTACGTCACAGAAGTTCAGGCCTCAGGTGAGCACACATTCAAACATTTCTATACTAGGTTAAGAGATTCTGTCACTGCATTTACATGTAAAGCTGCACATGCAATAGCAAAAAAAGTACCAGAATGTACTAATATAATTTAATGTTGTTTTGGGACAGAGTTCACTGGAAATACTATGATTTTTAGAATACCATCGTATTTAAATATTTAGAAAAATAAATTGGGCATATTGGAATATTTGGGCATGCTTCATATTAGTACCATGGTATTTTCTGAAATACCTTGTACTACCATAAATTCTGTGCTATATGTACATGATAATCAATGGTATATCAAACCGTGTACAGACATCACTGCAAAAACGCATTTATGGAAGATGTACAAAAATTAAGCGTTAGCGTTAGTTCTGGCAGGTCACGTGAGTCAAGCTTGCATCAGCTGATTCTCAGCTGATCACATCTACCTATAGGAATACGACACCTATCACGGCATTCCTATATAAGCTCTATTCATTATCAATCTGCAGCTTTTCAGCTTGCTCAGGAGCAAATTACCCTCCTCCATCCCCAGCTCCTCCTTTCGCCACAGTCAGGACTTGGCTTTCTGATATTCCTTGCTAATCAGAATCCTTTATCTTGAATAAAGTGTTACACTTAAATATCATTAAGTACATTAATGATATCTGCCTTGTTCTGTTCTGTTAACCCTAGGGGGGTTATTATTGCTGCTCTCCCTGCTCATTCATGACAGGCTGCATGGATGGGCAGGGAGATTTTTGCCCAGAACAGAACCATACTGCCAAACCAAACTTTATGCTAAGTATCTATCATTTTGACGATAGTGGTCCTGACAGAACTAAAATTAAAGCTGAAATTAAAACAAATTTAAGCTAAATAGTAATAATTAAAAAAATGATAATAATAAAATTTTAAAAAGCACATAACAAAATTACTAAAGATTTAACTAAAATAAAAAAATTAAAATATAAAAATAAAATCTAAATTAAAAAAAACAAATTTAAACTGTTGTAGTATCTAAATCATACTAAAATAAAGCAATAAGCCCCAAGAAGCCGTGGTTTACAGTGAATTTATAACAGCTAAGGGGCGTTGTTCGCGGAGTGCCTAAAACCCCCTTAGCTGTTATAAATTGACTGTAAACCACGGCTTCACGGGGCTTATTGCTTTTATAAAACGGTTATTCCATATATGTAGTAAGGTTTCACAAAATAAAACAGAGCAAATAAAGTGTAATGAATGATATTAATAAAAGCAGTATTCTTCCACCAAACAATGTAGTTCCTCAGAAACAGCAATAAAATGGTTGCCAAGCAACACACAAAGTAAACAAAGCTGTATGTTTGTAGAGTAATTTACAACAGCTTAGAACGTGGCTCAACCAATCAGAATCAAGGACCGGAACTATCCATTTTATAATAAAACTGGTCTGAAGGTGAGGTCACATTAGTGAATTCTGGTGGAATTTTGCGGGCAAAAAATAATCTAACAGACTCACTTTCAAAACAAGCAGCTTTATATTGGTCAATACAGCAAATTTGCGTGACCAACTGAAACCATTGCAAAATTTGCATGGGGATATTTTCATCCTCACGTGAAATTCCAGATTGCTTGGATTCCTATTAAAATGACTGGATTTTGCTACTTAAAATTCACAGAGCACAGTAAATGTAACTGCACTTTGATACTGTCATTGTTTGGTAGCCACCACAGTACTTTTTTTGTAAGGGTGCACACACAAACGTCCACTTGCAGTACATTACAGGTGGTCAGGTGACTGTGTATTCTGTCCGACATGCACACACAAGCAGTATGGCATTAAATCAAGATATCTGATCCATAACACGTGTAAATGTTTTTCTGTGAGCTAATAATGCATTTGAGATCTGTGCACAAGCTGCAGAGAAACAGAGTGCATGACTTTACATGATGTTTTCGTAAGCCAACATTTGCGGTCACAAGATCACTGTCGTGAGGCATCAGAGATGTGTGTGTGAGTGTGTGCACGTGTGTGTGTTAGTGTGTCAGTCCAGAGCAGGCTTAAGCGGGGAGGAGTGGATGCAGCTAAACTCTAAAGCCAAACACATCAGGTCCATCCAGGCACCCAGCAGCCCTCCCTTCCTCTCACCCGACCCTGTAATCCTATAGACGCACACTGCCTAGCAAAATCACTGGTCACACACACACACACAAGATTTGACATCTGACAGCACGCACAGATAGCAGAGAGCAAAACGAATCCTCATTTTACTAGCATCCTTTTGTGGAGGCACATATACAAACGCAAAACTGGACCACTCTCAGAGCTTTAGCCCAATGCAGCTCTGGGCTATGGGTATAAAATGTGAGTATGTTTGTGTGTGTGTGTGTGTGTGTGTGTGTGTGTGTGATAGCGTGTGTGCTAACAATGCTAAAATCCAGGTATCTGCACTTCTGTACATGCTATTTGTGTCATAGGTCAGTTATCCTTTTTGTTAATTTAGTTGGTTGGTTTAGTTTAAACAAGTCATGCTACGTCTGCCAATACTGACTATAAAGACAGTTTGAAATCAAAATTGAACCCATGCATATTGCAGGTTGCATTGTGCATGATTCATCAGTGCACATTATTCTAAAGAGAAATCAGAATGTAATAACTTTGTGATTTTGTGAATTTAAACTAATAATATCAGCTGACTTTCTATGATGCAAATTCCTGTGTATAAAATAAAACATTCCATCTGAGTATTGACAAAAAGGTCGCATTACAAAGGTTAAATGCATTGTGAATTTCATTTCAATGCCTTTAAAGCTGAAGTGTGTTGTTTCTTCACCTGATGACATAATTTGAATTTATGGGTAAACTATCTCTTTAAACTGGGATTGGAGGATTGGGATTTTAGTCTTCGTACTAAAGTCTTCTTACGGATTACCAACATATCCTGCCTTTGCATGTGATGCTATTTCTTATTTATCCAGTTGGGGTTTTCTTGTTTGTGAAAGTTTTTTTTTTTTTTTTTCAATCAAAAGTCAACTCAGGAAAAATATAAAATTGTTATATTTTAATTTAAACCAGCCTGAATTCAAATCAATACAACAAACACTATAATGGTGTGTAAATATGTTGTGATTTTAAAAAGTGGAGTTATTTTTCTCACATTACCTTAATGAAAATGTGTTTTTGTTTGCTGGTTTGTTTTTTGCATTATGGTAATTAGAACTGAATAGGAACTTATGCTTAATTGTCATGAAAATAAAGTCAGAGTGCAAAAAAGGTAAATATTTAATATAATGTAATATAATATAAACATCCATATTCCAAATCTCTTGTCATTAATATAATATATATTTAATGTGTTTTATAAAATATGACCTAAGTATGTTTATGCCAGGCTTTTGAAGCTGTCAGTAAAGGACAAGGACTAAGACTATTATGACAAAAGCTGGATTTATTTGTGTCGGGGAGATTATTTATGCTTTTGTGTTACACATCTACATTTCTCTGTTTCTCTGTGTTTCTCTTTCTCTGTCAAGGTGTGGAGTTGTTGTGCGACCGTGATGTTGACATGGCGACGCGGGTGCAGGACCTGTTGGATTTCCTGCATGAGAAACAGCAGGAGCTGGACACAGCCGCAGAGCAGCACAGGAGACACCTGGAGCAGTGTGTGCAGCTCCGTCACTTACAGGCCGAGGTCAAACAGGTAACATCTGTCTGTCTCTCTGTCTACCCACGCAGAAACTCTTTCAGGGGACATGCGTACAGGCATGGACTTAAATTTCAGATCATGATACAGCTTTGTCAGCAAAGAACAAAACAACTACTGTGTGATGGGTTCTTTCTAACGCACCTCCATATTTAATAAGTGTCATGATTAATTATGCAGTAGAGATTTTATTTTAGAGGTGGGAATTTCCTCTGTCTGTACCTGAGCAGTGACTCATGCGTAGTGAATGTAGGCTAAACTGAGGTTGAAAATCAGACATTACCTTGTACATTAATACCACTGACGCCTTGGTTTTGTTTAAAATGTGTATAGGTTGTATTATAAATGTTTGAGATGGCAACGAGGTCCTTTTACCCCACAACCAGTGTAAATAAATTGAAATTTCATAAATGTCATACATTTAAAATATAATGATTTTATTATTAACATGGTGATTATCTCTAAGGTAGACACCTTAATTTTATTTAATTTTATTTTATCTTAGAGATAATCACCATGTTAATAATAAAATCATCATATTTAAATTTATGACATTTATGAAATTTCAATTTATTTACCCTGGTACTTTAATTTAATTTGTAATTTAATTTAATTACACGTTTATTAATTACATTAACAGTAATTATTACATTACATTATGGCCAAAATATAATTTGTTAATATTCAGATTTGCATTTGAAATACTAAATTACTATTAACTACTGATCTGTTAAGCATTATATAATGTTTGTTAAAAATGTGTTAATGTAGCCATTTTAATATTGAGTGAAGTGCAGTGTTAATAGTTTTGAATAGCAGCTCTGACTACATACAGGAGCTGATGGGAAACAGAGCAGTTTTATAGCACTGGGCACGCTTAAAATCAGAAGGAAAAACTAGGCCAGGAGGAGCAGCTGGTAATCTCATTTCATCCTTTCATTTATTTATTTTATTATTTATATATTTATTTTTGTCTGGACTGCTCTAGAGGAAAAGAGTGATTAAAGATGTCGAGGAGCTGGGACGCCCGTGTGGTTTAAGGCCTGACACGGCCACAGAGTATTTGAGTGGTGTGTGGTGGTTAGTAGACATGTAATCATCTGTTTGACTTTACTGTGTGTGTGTGTGTGTGTGTGTGTGTGTGTGTGTGTGTCCGTGTGGCAGTGTGTTTATTTACGTTTATGCAAGGAGCATAGTTGTGTTATCTGTCACTGGCAGTGTATCAGCACTAAAGCAGGTGTGTAAAGTGTGAGTCAGTGTGTCAGGAGACGGCGTGGAATTTAGACCTGAAGGTGGAGTCAAAGAACACATCTGTCAGTATCCAGTATGTTCACTTTCCCCACTGATGCAACCCAACAGTTAACAGCACACTACAAGTTTACATGTCTCAACTTTCATGAAACAGTGCTTTTCAGTTTAGTGTAAAAGGCAGCATTGTATGCTTTATACCAGTTTTTTTCAGTCAATGTATAATGTTATTCACGGTTTCTTGTACAAACCAAGAATTTAATTTTAAAATGAACCTTTACTGACCTTTAAAATTAAAAAAGCTGTTCTTATTATAATTGTCCATTGGCTATTTATTATGACCAAGTGAAATGAGGATCAATGACCTAAACCAAGCCACTGCACACTGAATAGGTGTTGTTGATGTGTAAATTTAAAGGTTTCTTTCAGCCACCAAGTGTAGTACACTCAGCTCCGTTTAACATACTTTACTATGTTTTAAATTCATTCTACAGTCCATATCAAATGGGTACTAATGGTTTTGACGTTTTAATTTAGGCAAGTTGGACAGTGGAGTAGGTCCGATAGCAGAAGAGATCACAATAGCAGAATTTTCACTACACGATTTCCATGGCCAAAAGAACTGCGATAGTTATAGAAATCTTGAAAATATTACATAAATAATGCTATAAGTCAAATTCATCTTTATGTATTTATTTATTTCATTAATTCATTGTATTTATTTATTTAATCACACCACTGCATACAAAAGGAACAATTACACTTAATGGCAACCAGTTTGAAATAACTTCCTTTTGTGTAGTGATGTGGCTTATTATCACAGAATGAGGCAGAATTTATATTATTTTTTAGTATTGTGTAGTATAGTGTAGTGATAAAGCGTATGTGTTGAGTATGAATAAATAAATAAATTACATGTGAGAGTTTAACGCGCCTTAATGATCACCTCACCCTATTTTGGGTAAAAATAGAAAAAAAAACATACGATAATCCAATAATATTTATCCAAATGAGGGATGTGAATACAGTATCAAAATAACAGAGGTGGAGGTGGGTAAACAGGTTGGTGGTATTGCCCCCTTTTGCTCCCACTGATGATTGGCAAGTCCTACGGACTGGGGTGGTTATGTAACGGTGGTGGCCCAGTTACTGGGGTACTGGGGTTACTATACAAGTCATTTTCACAGAATCCAAATAACTGGCAAGCTAACTTTTTTGAAGTGTAGGTAGAGTGTCTCGTCTGTCATATCCAATTACATGCTTTTGCGAGACAGTATAGCTGCGCTTTGTGTCTTTTTCTGTTTTATGACAGGTGTCAAACAGTGCTAAGGTGCAATACTGCTATTTACATTGGGATGTCAACCATATAGTTAGTGGTAGTTATTCACTTTACCTGTATATTGCAACACCTCTAATTAACACAATAAAGATAACGTAATACAGCAATTTTATTTTTATTTTTCTAAAAATTAGAATATGTTTACATAGAGGATAGAAAATTCTGTTTTCTATGACGTGCCCCTTTTAAATGCTTTGTGTATGTGTGTTTCAGGTGCTGGGTTGGATCCGTAATGGGGAGTCAATGCTCAATGCAGGTCTCATCACAGCCAGCTCTCTACAGGAGGCAGAACAACTGCAGCGGGAACATGAACAATTTCAGCACGCTATTGAGGTAGCAAACAATCTTTTCCAAACAACACACATTTAAATGTGGATGTACCATAGACATGCCATTCCTGTTTTGTTTGTATTGTTTTCTTTTGTTTTTTCTTATGCTAGTAATTTGTTTGTTTTTTTTGCTCCAAAAATACTTTAACTGTCACTCATTCAATATTAGTTGCTGTTGTCTCTTTTAGAAATGTATATGTAAATCTTACAATAAATAAATGTCCTCATGATGGCCACTGTTTTTCTTGTCAAATGAATAACTCTACTTACTTTTTAAAGTGAGGTTTTTGGCCAAAAAAGCAAGGCATGAACCATTTTTTATTACTAATTTCTGGTCATTTTCACTTTCTCTTCTTTTTCACTTTCTCTTTCATTTTCTTTATCATTTCATCCCATGCAGAAAACCCATCAGAGTGCACTGCAGGTGCAGCAGAAGGCAGAGGCTCTGCTACAGGCCAATCACTACGATATGGACATGATCCGTGACTGCGCAGAGAAGGTGGCATCTCACTGGCAGCAGCTCATGCTGAAGATGGAAGACCGCCTCAAACTGGTCAATGCCTCAGTGGCTTTCTACAAGACATCAGAGCAGGTCGGTGAGCTTGTCTTAATAGTGATTCTGTCATTTGAGACCTCTTGTTCGTTTAGCGCAACAATTGGCTACAAAAAGTCTTAAATCATATTTATTTTGCCTCAGCAACAAATTTTTATGTAATAAGTATGACCTAGTATCTCATAATTTAACTTTTTATCTCATACTTTTGATGAGATATTATAATTATCTCATAATTATAGTATCTCATAATTTTGACTTTTTTTCTTGTGGTGGAAATAGGCTTCCAAAGAGCATTTAGATATTTTTGCTTATATTTATTATGTATAACTACATGTGATTGTTTTGCAGGTGTGTAGTGTGCTGGAAAGTTTAGAGCAGGAATACAAACGAGAGGAAGACTGGTGTGGAGGGACTGATAAACTGGGACCAAACTCAGAGTCTGATCACGTGACGCCCATGATCAGTAAACACCTGGAGCAGAAAGAGGCCTTCCTCAAGGTACCGAGCACATACACTCATGCACTCAGGTTCTCAAGTATCATTCCGATCATGACATTAAATATTTAGTGCACATTTACTCAGAACTGACTTTTTTTTTCTCTCTGTTTGAAGGCATGCACATTAGCAAGACGCAACGCTGATGTCTTCCTCAAGTACTTGCACAGAAACAGTGTGAATATGCCGGGAATGCTCGCACATGTCAAAGCCCCTGAACAACAAGTCAAGAGTAAGACTACATTCTCATTTTAAAAAGCAGTTTTATGACTGGTTTAAAGGACCAAATTTAGCCATCATTTGCTATTTGATTACCATTATTATATGTGGACCACAAAACCAGTCATAAGGGTACATTTCAAATAGGGTAATAGGATGCTACATGCACTTTTACAAGTTGTTTGAACTGAAATGTGTGTTGGCAGTGTGTGTACACAACCACCCTATAATGATAAAAATCCACCCAGTGGTTTTTTTAATCTGGCTAAATGTTTTCCCCTTTCTCAAATCGAGCCGATCTCAGATACCTGAAATGATCCGAACTTCCCATCACTATCTGAGAGCAGCTCGGAAGAGAGGGGTGGGTCAGCATAGCTCATTAACATTTAAAGGAAAATGCTACAAAAACGGCTTGATCTGAAAAGAGCTGTTTTTGACAGGGTAAAAAAGGTGTTTTTTACACTACCATTGAGAAATTTTAACCAAACTATGTTACAGACTTTTCATTAAGACCCTAAAGAATCATATCAACTTGTGGAAAATGGGCATCCTATCACCCCTTTAAAGCTGAATAAATAAGCTTTCCAGTATTATATTTGGCCAAGATACAACTATTTGAAAATCTGGAATCTGAGATTGCAAAAAAATCAAAATATTGAGAAAATCGCCTTTAAAGCTGTCCAGAGGAAGTCCTTAACAATGCATATTACTAATCAAAATTAAGTTTTGATATATTTATGGTAGGAAATTGACAAAATATCTTCATGGAACATGATCTTTACTTAATTCCCTAATGATTTTTGGCGATAATTTTGACCCATACAATGTATTTTTGGCTATTGCTACAAATATACCCCAGTGACTTAAGATTTGTTTTGTGATTCAGGCTCACATATTGTTATGACTCCAGGGTTCACGTATGTTCTGTGTTTCTGATTCTGTCGCTGTGTCCTGCAGACATCCTTAATGAGTTGCTGCAGCGGGAGAACCGGGTTCTGCACTTCTGGACCATGAGGAAGAGAAGGCTTGACCAGTGTCAGCAGTATGTGGTGTTTGAACGCAGCGCCAAACAGGTCAGTACTAGTTTAATCCCAGTCTGAACCAGTAAAAAGACAAAGAGCCTGTTTTTTGAGTCAGCCTATAGTCTGGTCCTAATTGCGTCTTGTTTTGGTCAAGTAAACTTAGCCAGAGAGAGTCTGTTTGTGAGAAGGTGCACCTGAGATTGAAGCAAAGTGGTAACTTGATATGATGATTAAAATGTCACTGCATTCTCTTACTTTTACAGACAAAACCAAAATATAGTGTAAAATGTGATTTCTGAATTTCTGTGTAAGGATTGCTTTACAGAGAAGAGAAAGATTTCCTTACAGCCATTGCAAAACCAATGGCTTATTAATTTGGGCAACTCAACAGGTCTGAATACTTTCCGTACCCACTGTATATTAATAAATTAACATTTCATATTGACAAAGGAATGTAGGAAAATATTAATTGATTTTCATTTTGGGTAAACTATCCCTTTAATTTTACAACTTTGTTCATCCAAGGTTATTCTATGACTGTGATTGTCAGCATGTTGCAGGTTTATCATCTTGCCAGCAAATCACAGTTCACCTCACAGAATATGTTTACACTCTGATCTGTGCCTCTGTGGAATCAGTGTAGCTCTCTCTATAGCTCACTCGCCCTCTCGCTCTCTCGCTTTCTCCCTAGCAAACCAAAGAGCGGGTAAAGTTGTTGATCCAGCTGGCTGATGGTTTTTGTGAGAAGGGCCACGCCCATGTGAGCGAGATTCAGAAATGGGTCGCCTCGGTGGATAAACGCTACCGCGACTTTTCCCTCCGCATGGACAAGTACCGTTCCTGCCTGGAGAAAGCGCTTGGCCTGTCCACTGACTCCAACAAAGCGGTGAGAGGGCTGGGAGAGTGGGTGTGTTGATGTGGCCTGCATGGCTGGAGTGTGGATGAACCGTATGTTTGTTGTAAGGGTCATTAACCATGTTAATGTATGAAAGAAAGGTGATTTCTGACCATTGGAACATTTCTTTTGGGGTTTCAGAGTAAAGGTCTGCAGTTGGACATCATTCCAGCCAGTGCTCCTGGTGCAGAGGTCAAGCTCAGAGACGCCAACCATGAACTCAATGAGGAGAAACGCAAATCGGCCCGCAGAAAAGAGTATGTTTTTTAAACATGATTATATGATATCAAGCCAACAGCAGGAAGTGCTGAAAGGGCGGAGTTAATACTTCATCTGAAGAACGTCCAGCTTTAGTTACTTTGTGTTTTAAAGAAACACCCATAAATATGCATACTAAAGTAAACATGTTTTCATTTTTGAGGTTTTTATGCTTGAATGAAACCCCTTCCAGAGGTATTGTGCTTTCAAACAAATGTTGACAATAGGTCTCTGGTGCATTGCCTGTTACCTCTCTCTCTCTTTTCAGGTTTATAATGGCGGAGCTCATTCAGACCGAGAAGGCATATGTGAGAGACCTGCGGGAGTGTATGGATGTAAGTGCTGTTGTCGCGGTTTCCTCCGTACGAACCAACATTTAGAGGGTGTGGTACACCAATGTCCAAAAAGCCCTGTGCTATAAATGTATTCACTGCAGTACAGCCTAAGAACAATCCAGTTTATCCAGGAAGAGCTACTGTTTGATCTCATGAAAAGATTGAGTGTCATTAAAACACTGACCATGTTTACATGCACCATTTTTGAATCCAAAAAAGTGCTCCACAGCTATTTGAATATTCATGCACTTTGGAATACACATGTAATCATATTCCGAAAATAATACATGTGCATTCTTTTTCTTTCAATCTCTTCTGGGAAAAAAAAAAGCTGTCTGTGATTCATTTATTATGATGCATTTTTGTAATTGAATCAGCTCATTTATTTTCATTCGCATCCTGGACAATAGCATATGCAAACCGTAGTTCATCTCAAAGGGTGTTTTTAACCCATCTGTATATTGATTTATGTTTATTTCAATTAAGGTTTGTAACAGAAATCAACAGGCATCAATAGTTCGATATGCTTGTTCTATTTTAGCACCCAGAATTACTTTTGTTATGATGTTTGAGGTTAAACATTAATATTCGGTTTCAGTGTATATTCTGGATAATATGGTTTATAACCCAAAATTCTGATTAATACAGGTTAATACCACAGGACTTTGTCAAACAGTCATTTTAAAAGAAAATAGAAAGTTGAAAATATAATTAAAACTGTAAAAACTTTTTAATATAATGTTCTTGTTTTCATAATCATTTTGATCAAATTACAATTCATTTGGTGACAATTATAAGAGAATGTTCTTTGCTTCAGACATACGTTCCATTGAAATAATTGAAGATGCATTTGAAGAAAAATTGTATTAACCAATAATATCAGAGCCAACTATCCACAATCTGAACACATCCAGATAGATAAAGTCTAACGATGTAAACGCTGAAATACAGAATTTGTCTTTGAAAGTGTAATAGTATTAGTCTGTTATCACATTTTTGGAAAAAATTCTAAGTGTGAGTGTGTGTGTTTCAGACATATCTGTGGGAGATGACCAGTGGTGTGGAGGAGATTCCCCCAGGGATTGTCAATAGAGAGCACATCATTTTCGGCAACATGCAAGACCTATACGAGTTCCATCACAAGTCAGTGAACCTTATAAACTGCAATTCTTATAATTATGTATTTCTAACTTCCTTTACTTACCATTTCCCTATGCACTTCTCTGTCCTATTCTCAGTATTTTCCTTAAAGAACTGGAAAAATATGAGCAGCTTCCAGAGGATGTGGGTCACTGTTTCGTCACATGGGTGAGTGTCAGTGTGCTAGAGATAATCTTATCAAGATGTGCACCAGACTCATGTAACAATATATTGACATTAAATCAGATCATTAGGACACATATCTAGGTTGCACTGTATTTGACAGTACATGCACTTACAGTTTACATACAATGGAAGTACTGAGTAATATACAGTATATATCTATATATTAGGGATGGGAAGATTCACCGATTCGCTTGGTGCATCGGCAAAAAAAGTTAATAATGCGATGCATCGGTTTAAAAAGTGTGCATCGGATACAAGTTGGCATTTGTATCGTGATGCATAATTTCTAACATATTTGCATCGGTAAAAACCGATTTATTTATATATAATTACTAGTGGGTGGCTACACTTTTATTGTTTAGAAAGTGACCAATAATCTGTGACCAATATTTCATATGTAGATTGAATTCTCCTCTCGAAACTGTTTCTCAAGCGCGTTCTCTCGGCTTGACCAGTGTCAGCAGTATGTGGTGTTTGAACGCAGCGCCAAACAGGTCAGTACTAGTTTAATCCCAGTCTGAACCAGTAAAAAGACAAAGAGCCTGTTTTTTGAGTCAGCCTATAGTCTGGTCCTAATTGCGTCTTGTTTTGGTCAAGTAAACTTAGCCAGAGAGAGTCTGTTTGTGAGAAGGTGCACCTGAGATTGAAGCAAAGTGGTAACTTGATATGATGATTAAAATGTCACTGCATTCTCTTACTTTTACAGACAAAACCAAAATATAGTGTAAAATGTGATTTCTGAATTTCTGTGTAAGGATTGCTTTACAGAGAAGAGAAAGATTTCCTTACAGCCATTGCAAAACCAATGGCTTATTAATTTGGGCAACTCAACAAAAATAAAATTTGTTAGTAGTAAGGTACACATTTGTAAAAGCAAACAGCTTACATATTGTATATACATAAATGGAGAGCTAGTTTTAACAGATGTAATTCAGCCACAAATCATTTATTCAATGCCATTTCCAGAAAACTGAAATGATGATAAATGTCTGTTTTTAATGCAGTGCAGTGCCATATTTGCGTGCAATGTGCATCATACAGTCCACAGGAGTGTCATTTCAAAAGTTTCTCAAAATTTCAAGAAAGAGGGTAGGAATATATCATCTCCTCACTTTCATCAAACGTCAGTTTCGCCGACAGAATTTTATTATTCACACCCTAACGTCTAATTGAGATCAAATTAGTTTATTTCATACACAATTGACTGGAAGCCGCCGCAGACCACAACAAGTATTTCTGGAGTCTCAAATAACAGAACCATGTCAGGTCAAGCATTCAGTGGTTTGCGTGACTGCTGTATAAACCCGAAAGAGGTTCAACTGTCATGAAAAAAAGTGTATGTATTTGTAGCACTTACTAGCACTTCATTTATATTTTGCCCTATTATGGTGAAAAAGCATCTGCCTAAAAAAATAACTGAAAATGTTCTCCTAATGCACATGTTCTGAAGTTGTGTAAATTGTGTCTGTTGCATAATTACAGTGTAGGCTTTCAGGAAGTCTGTGGTACTGGATGGAGTTTCTCTCTTCGTTCTGCGTTCAAACGCTTAGTAATTGAGAGGAAGGACTCTAGTTTGACCACACAGTGCTCTGCTGCAGTACTCACAGTCTTCCCCAGGCTGTGTAATGAGGGTGGCCCGCAAAGTTCCTCTTTGACACACAAACATTTTGTCAGTAAACATTAGTGCCTGCACACAATGCAACCTGTTCTGAAATCAGTTACTTTTAAATTGACGTGAAAATGTTGATGGGTTTCAAAATGAGATTGAGCACTTTTAGAGATCTCACTCCCTCTTGAGGATGCATGAGAGTATAACATATACACATGTGTTCCAACACATTGGCTTTTTTTATATATATCCTTGTCTGGATTTCCCTTTTACATCTATTGTTAATAAAAGCTAATTATAATTTCTATAAACTAAACCTAACCTTGAAGACGTTGTTTTGTCCCTTTACTGCTATTTTTTTGAGGCAATTTTTTTAAATCTTTGCTCCCACAAGATTAGAAAAACAAGCATATATTCAAGTTTTATCCTCTAACCATCTTGTATTGTTTGTCCTTTTGACTTTTTTTCTGCAGGCTTTGGAGTGGATCCATGATACAGGAGAGTTTTACCTATCCACACACACCTCCACAGGCTCCACTATACACCACACACAGGAACTGCTGAAAGAACATGAGGAATTCCAGATTACAGCTAAGGTATGTCTCAATATAGGAACGTTTTGCTTTCTTATTTTCCTAGATGCCTGTAAACTGAATCAGAACGCTTGTACATCAATATGAACATGTTCTATTGTCCGTTTATTGTCATAATTTACTCTCTGCCGCCTTGTTCCAAACCCAGCTTTCTTTCGAGTCTTGTGAACAGATTTTACATACTTTGTAATATGCTAAAACAATAAAAATGTTGTTTATATAATAAACTTTAAATTAAAATAATAAAATAAAAAAAACGTATTTTATGTCAGCTAGTTGCTGAGGCAATATATCTTATTTTCATTTAGTTTAACTTAAATAACTAAAACTAAAGTAACAGAAATAATAAGAGAAACTACACAGACATACTGGAGAAATAAAAATGACAAAAATGTGCAACATTACTAAAACTTTAACTGAAATTAGAATAAAGAACATGAACATCTATATATATATATATATATATATATAAATGATTCGAAATATGATAATATTTTGTGGCCAAAAGTGTTTTTTTTTTTGTTTTTTTTCAAATTATGACATCCTTATGTCATGGATACACAATGTGTAGTCATGGCCTCGAGATATTGTGTGTTATATTGGCTAAAATCATTTAAGTTAATTTTTTTTCCTCATTAATGTACACACAGCACCCCATATTGCCCATATTGAACAGAATTGTTGACATTTTTGCAGATTTATTAAAAAAGAAAAACTGAAATAT